ATTTTTGCCATAATAGGAGCATGCAGTAGGATTTCTAGTTCTAATCAAAGATGTATGAGGAGCAATCTGATTTGATTTGACAGAGCTATCACTGGAGGATTTACGCAATCCATTCAGTTGAAGTTGAAGTTCATTAACTTCATCTTGAAGCATATCACGCTCAATTTCACAAACTTCCAACTTCAAAGCCCATTCTTTCTTTTCTCTTTTGATTTTTTTGAGTTCATTTAGAACTCTCTCAATATCTGCAAGAGCAATATCAACAAATTTTGAAGTTCATAACAATTAGGATATGTAGGAAGACGTACCTCACTAGTTCCTTCGTTTGCCATAAGACCAAGTTCACATGAGTCTTCCTCCTCATCCGTTCCTTCGTCTGCCATGAGCCCAAGTTCACTTGAGTCCTCATTGCTATCTTCTTTTACGGCCATGAAACACATATTTTGCAATTTCTTCATGGTCAGATTCCTCTTCATCACTCCAGGCTCCGAAAGACTTTTTCTTTTGAAAGTTCCTACTGAGTTTCTTCTTCAGTTCGGGGCATTCAGCTTGAATGTGTCCATGTTTCCCACATTCATAGCATCTTCCATCATTTTATCATTATCATTATTCATCCTTCCCTTTCTGAAGTTAGATTTACCTCTCATGCTGTTTCTGTTTTTCCTCAACATACATGTTACCACTTGAGAGATCATGGCTATGTTTTCATCCTGTTCTCCTCCTTCCTCTTCCTCTTCATTTTCTGGTTCAGCCACAGTTGCTTTGAATGCAGGTGTTTTCTTCTTTTCCTGTTGAATTTGCCTGTCCAAGTGAATTTTCTCGAAGGCAATCAGATCACCTCTAAGTTCATCATAGGACATCTTGTCAAGATCCTGACATTCTAGAGCAATAACCTTGGGTTGCCAAATCATGGTAAGACTTCTTAGAAGTTTTCTAACCTGTTCTCCACTTTTTATTGGTCTACCAAATAACTTTAAATCTCCAAGGATTTTGCTGAATCTTGAGAACATTTCCTCTACCGATTCTCCATCCTTCATTTGAAATAATTCATAGTCACGAACAAGGAGATTGATCCTTGTTTCTTTTACTTTGTTGATTCCTTCATACGTGATCTCTAATTTATCCCACATTTCCTTAGCAGTTTCACAGCTTGATATCTTTTCATATTCTTCTCCACTGATAGCATTATACAGCAGACTTTTTGCTTTGGCATTCACTGTTATGACGGCTGATTTTTCATCAGTGTAGTCATCTATGTCAAGTGGATCAGTCGATACTATGACTTGACCATTTTAATCTTTCTTTGGTGGAATTGGAAGATTTCTTTAGTGGTACCTACCTCCAGTTCCCTTGGGTCACAAGGTTTCTCTTATATCTTTGATAATGTATTACAATAGTGATGGTTTTAGTACGTTCACCATCAATGATATTCAGCAATAGTGATCTTTGTAATGTTGACACAACTCTCTTTTGTGTTCTAACTCTTCCTATCTTTTGTGACACTTGTAGACTCAAGAATACAGTGTTTGTACTAAGAACTAGAAAGGCTTAGACAACAGTTTGTGTATTTGCGTAAGTCTTCTTCTCGAAGTTGCTCATCTTCTTATAGGAGAGATTGAATAGCCGTTGCAAACTCATCTTTGATTGAGGCACAGAATCTTTAAGAGATTTGACCCAAGGGGTGCTTCCGAATCCTGCACGTGAGATGGGTTGGATTCGTTAACATCCTTCCCTTTTCATATCCAAAATTCAGGGAGTGATTTGTGGTTTCAATTTGATTGATCAATCTTCTAATTCTAATCTAGTCCTTGAAGTATGGCTTGACATTTCCTTAGCAGATTCACTTGATATGTTTCCTAGTTGAGACAGCCTCGTTATCCTTGATTGAGACTAAAGCGTATGGACTGATTTTATTTCCTTTTTGATGGCTTTGATATGGCTTTGACTTTGTTTGATTCAACATTGTTCAAGTTTCCTTTGATCTCGATTCCATTCTGATATCGTTGCCTTTGAACTTCCCTTGAAGTAGTGCTACTTCCTGATATCCTACAATCAAATAGAAATGATTAGATTTGCACTATTGTCATCATTGAAACTTAGATGTAACAGATACGATGCCGGCAGCATCGACGCTGAAGTTGTACTCCGATAACCTCGGTGCCTCCCTGGTCCTGATAGTCCTATCGAAACCGTTTTTGCTCATGAGTCCCCGATCATTATGACCTCGATCGCTTCTTTTTTCATTCCTCGCTGGGTTGCGTCCAGATCCATTTCCCCTGCAATCTCCACTATACGGTTGGTAACCATCTCTGCTCGGTCTTTGTTCATGATCGGCGGCTCTTTTAGACCTGTCATTAGTTTTGCTGGGATATACGGACCCAGAAAGGTCCCTGAGCTGATCATCCTCCACTCTGATTTTCGATTGGTACCTATTATGGACGTCAGCCCAGGTTACTGTCGGGTACTCTATCAAATTCTATTTCAGCTGCTATGAAGCCAAAGAGCTTTGGGAGTTGAGTCCTTGAGTGAAAGCTTGGACAGCCCAATCGTCTGCTCCGCAACCGGGGGCAGATCCATCCTTTCCATTTGGAACCTCGACACGAACTCCCTGAGCATTTCGTTATCTCTTTGCTTGACCTTAAAAAGGTATGATTTCCTGGTTTCGACTTTGATGGCCCCGGCATGAGCTTTTATGAAGGCATCCGCAAGCATAGCAAACGAATCGATGGAATTAAGGGGCAGGTTGTGATACCATATCATTGGTCCTTTAGAGAGGGTTTCCCCGAACTTTTTCAGTAAAAACCCGACTCGATTTCGTCATCCTCCAAGTCACTTCCCTTTATGGCACACGTGTAGGAGGTCACGTGTTCATTCAGATCTATGGTCCCGTTATACTTTGGAATTTCGAGCATACGGGACTTATTTGGGGTCGGTTTCGGAGCTGTGCTCGGAGGTAAAGGTTTTTGGACGAACTTCTAGGAATCCAGTCCTTTCAATATCGGGTGCTCTTGGGATCTGATCAACCCTGGAGTTATAGTCTCCACTTTTTTGTTGTTGACTTCGATCTTCTTTTCCCCAGATTCCACCCGCTTCGTCAGTTCTTCGAGCATCTTTATTATATCGATCAAAAAGCCTATCAAACCTCGTCCGAATTACCTGAAATTTTGCACACACGTCCGAAATGACACAACGGACCGACTCCAACTTCAGGAATTTCATTCCGACCCCGATATCAAAATCTCACCATCAAACCGGAAACTTCAAAAATTCAACTTTCGGCATTTCAAGCCTAATTAAGCTACGGACCTCCAAAACACAATCCGAACACGCCCCTAAGCCCGAAATCACCGAACGGAGCTAACAAAACCAACGGAATTCCATTTCGAGGTCGTCTTCACACTGCTCCGACTACGATCCAAATTTAAAAGCTTAAACTCTTATTTAGGGACTAAGTGCCCCATATCCGAAACTCTAAACGAAACCTCCCGGCAACTCAAAATAGCAGAAATGAACATGGGGAAAGCAGTTAATAGGGGATCGGCGCGTTAATTCTTAAAATGACCGGCCGGGTCGTTACATCCTCCCCCTCTTAAAATATTCGTTCCTCCTCGAACGAGCATCGAGAAATACCTGAAGTAGTAAAAAGATGAGGGTAACGGCTGCGCATCGGGGCTAGCCCCGGCTTCAGCTTTACCTGGCCTTTCCGAGGTTCGTTCATTCCTTCGGGTGTTTTCCCAGGATGGTTCGGGCTCAACTCGGCTGGGAGCATGGCTTTGATTCTGTAACTAGGTTATTGCCACTTGTTGAGCTTGCAACATTTTGAAGATCGCCCACAAATTGATCCTATCACCTTCACCGTCGTGCGTATCCTAGGCTACTGACCTAGCTCCTCCACGAACGTTGTTTTCTGGGTCGTGGGCAAGTTACCCTCGATGGCCACATGGGAGTTGGCATCGATCGAGTCTGCGACCAGGGCTCCGTTAGGGTCAGCAGGAGGAACCTCGTTGCCGGGCACTATATTGTTGTTCTCGCCATGGTGGCTAGACTCAGCACCAACATTCAAGTGAGCAGATTGAGAGTTTGACATTCTTAAATTTACCTGAAATTAAAATCTCAAAGAACAAGTGTAAAATAGAGTACGTTATGGAAATTTGTATCAAATTGCCACTATTATCCTTAGCCCCACGGTGGGCGCCAAACTGTTTACCCTAAAGATGAGTACCAATTGAATTTATATGTGATTTTAAGGATATGCGGATTAATTCGACACAAATGATAAATGATGTTAGATTAAATAGATAAAAACGTACTAAATTACCTAACCAATAAGGAGAGTGATCTCGGACTCAGTAATGGCTTAACGAAGTGCCTACCTTCGATTCCGAGATCACGCTAATGAAGAACTGATGAACAAAAGTAAGAACTTTGAATAACAGAGAGAATAAGAGTATATTGCCTTGATATACGTGTTACAATGTGTCTTATGAATAATAATTTTTCCCCTTTATATAGTGGGGGAATTTTACCCTAAGTACAATTCTAAAAAAGATAAAAATCTTCCATTTCGCCAATCACTGATTTTCTGTCGATACGAGCCGAGATTCATGCTGTGATATCTGGTTAGTCACAGAGATTACGACCCTTTGTTAGTCGTGTGCAGCTGCTCAGTAATGCTCTCCGAAGTCTCAATCCTCAAATCGGACCTCGAGGATATGGCCCTGATCCCGAGGGCGGGTGTTTTGCCCGAACCCCGATACGAGGGGTTCTTCGCTCTGGCTCCGATACAGTACGGTCACATTCCTGCTTCGTTTGTCTCACCGGGAAGTCGAGTCATGCAGCGGGCTCGGTTTTACCCATATATATATCTTTCTAATATTCTAGATACTAAAGATAGTCACCTATGACATGTTTATCACGTAACTGAATTAACAAGAAAAACTAAAGAAAATACAGATGCGTTTTGTTGGAAAAAAGAATATATTCAAGACAAATTCTCTAAATAACAAACTTAAAACAATTCTCTCAAAATCAAATCCGATTCATCAATTAGAATTAAAATACCAAAAAAAAACATAACAAAACTAAAAGCATCTGAAAGTGACTAGTGACAATCATCAATCTTTACATACTAAGGAGGGCAGTCCGGTGCACAAAGTATTCTGCGTTCACGTAGAGTTCGGAGAAGGGCCGTACTTAAAAGAATGTGATGTAGGCAGCCTACCCTGATGCAAGCATCAGGTTCTACGGCTCTAATTCTTGACCTATAGATCACACGGAGATAACTTCACCGTTGCTCCAAATCTCCCCTTCAATCTTTACATACTAAACATACATAATATAAATATTTGGATTTGAAATAAACACATAATCAATACTATAGACAAAAGAGTCATTGCCAACCACAATTTTCTTTTGGATTGTTGTATCATCCATTGTTTACTCTTCTTGTTTTGGGCCTGTAGGCCCACTAGTCTGACCCGAAGGCCCATTAGTCTGACCCGAAGGCTTGTAATATCCAGTGATAGGGTCTGGTACCCATGATAATGACTCTGAAGTTGCCTTCTCTTCCTCTTGTTTTCCTTTACTCTTTAAAGTCCTTTTCGTAGACTCTGTTTCTGCTTGTGATACTGCTGCACCATACCCTCTCCTACAAATAAATAAATAAAATAATAAATTATCAACAATATAATTTTTATTAAGTTTCACCTGTTATACCAGTAGCATTAGATATAGCAACATCAACAGATTTAAAATCCTAAATTTTTCCGGAATATAAATATAGAATTTAACTTATATATACTAACAGTTTAGAATATATTTATATGCTGTTAGCTGAGGCGGATGCTACATATCAGTACCAGGTTTAACTGAACCCACTACTTTTGACGCATAGCATAAATTATGTGTAAGAATTCACTAAATTGCAACAAATATTAAAGATGAACTCATAGCTTTAAAGAGATGATGAGCTCAATGTTAAAAGCCTTAAAGGTTGAATTCTTAGAGAAATTCGGAATCCGCTTCTTGATGTCAGTATACTTTTACTGGTTGTGTTAAATATTTACCATCTTACGTGTTAACAATCTTAGAGACTTACATGTAATTAACTTTCAGGTGACTTGATAGTGTAAAACAATTCTCATATAGAGTACGAAAATTCATTTGACCTTATTTAATGTCAAGTTTCAACTCTTTTTGTAGATTTAACAGGAAATCTCATAATCTCTTCACAGCGGAACTCTATATCTGATACTCCCAATTTATGTGACACTTATCGCTCTTTAAGAGTTAATTTGGCTAATATTTGAAGCTAAATTAAATTAGATAAACTCGATATTTTGAAATTAAAATATAAATATCCAAAGATTATACGAAAAATATTATAACACTTCACATATCCCAAAAAATACATTGATCAAAGTTCACATTGTTTGAATCTTAAGAAACGAAAAGTGCTACATAAATTCGAATAGGGTAAGTATGAATCGGTACTAGAAGATCTAACTCACCTGGTAATGAGACAAAAGGAAAGCCGGGTTTTGGAGAGTATTCCTGTCATATTTCCAGCCATTTTGATTCAAAGTAAATTCCAAAACTTGTTAATACTAATAAAGGAATTGGTGAAATATTTCGAGTTTTAGAGAAACACAAGCCAAAAGTTGCTTTATATAAGAAATGAATAGTTCAAAAAGTGGAAATATTGGTGAAGCCGTGTAGGGCAATTTAATGATTGAGTCCACTTGGTCATCCTTGAAGCAGAACCACCCACGTTGCAATATACTATTGAAGCATTATACTTTAATTCCTAATATGGTAATATAATAATAAGAAGAAACTTCCAAGAGGAAGACGTGTAAGAAAAGCCAAAAAAGAAGAAGAGAGTTTTGGTAATTTGAAAAGAACGTGAAATTATAGTTAAAACTTGGCTGCAAATGATTTTGTTTAGTTGAGTGATATTGTTCCTTTCTTGTTGATTTCTTACAAGAGTTCAATTTTATGCACTGTTAGTGTATAAATATTTACACGATCAATTCAATTATAAATTCGTATAGGTAAATCTCTATAGCAAGTAATCTGAAAAATGATAGTAATGAATATGCTATCTAAAAGAATGCGCATGATATATAGTCTTAGAAATGTATTGATCATTCGTGATTCAGTAATCAGTTGTGGCATCTAGGCACGAGAAAGGTTACCACTTTTGGCCTTTCTTGTAATCACGACGTACTTGTGCCAAAAGGTTCTTTATTCAAAATGCCACTAACGTGTACCCCGCATATGATGTATAAAAGTTGTTGAAAGCATACAATAAATAAATGTCCTATTATTGACACTTTAAATTTTTAAAATGAGGTGATCATACAATTTAATACTCATATGATAGTAGAGCAGATAAAAATTCTAAGTTCAAGTCCTACTATCATCCGTTAACAAAATATTTCTACATGTTTCGTCCAACAAAAAAAATTATATCGCACATGAGGAAGATATGCTACAAATATAAGATACATATATAAATACCAACATGTTTCGTCCAAAAAAAAAAAAGAATTATATCGCACAGGAGAAAGATATGCTACAAATATAAGATAAATATATAAATAAAGTACGCCACCACTCGTAGGTTAACCATTTGGATGAAGAATAGCAATAGAAATTCCCAAAGATAATTGTAATAGCTGTTCAAACATGTGCCGCAAGCTTAATGTTTTCGACGAACTCACAAGAATATCCACCTTAATAACTAATGAATTACAAGGTACAACCACCAGAACAAGAGGGGGGGGGGGGGAGGGGAGAAGAAAAAGAGAAAAATAAGTCACAAATAAGAAAGTGAAATATTGCAGATTATAGAGTATCCGAAATTTCAAATAATCTTTTTTCCTACGCCGGACAAAAATAGTTCCTAGCAACTGTCTGCCTTCCCACATCTAAATCCCAAAATCGAGTTGTTTCACTAGTTTTTTCCTGTCACTCAGTAGTAATTTGGTTGTATACTCAGACGGGACAAGGTGGAACATCAAGAGTAATACCAGCTTGGATTTGGCCCCAACCAATAAGACGCCAGTGCTTCTCGATTCTCCGGCTAAGAGCAATTTTCTCACCTTTGCTGGTACACACGGGTGATGTCAATTGCAGTTTTGCAAAGACATTCTTGACAGCGACAACACGAGCCCCTGTTGACATAGACCCTATGTTTAACATGAGAATTTCTCCCTTAGCCAGCTTCGAGACTTTACCCTGCCTTTCTGAGTCCTTTGTCCTCACTCCCAGAAGACGGCGGAGCAAAAAGAAATTTACCTGCATTACAAAGTGATGTCATTTGAAAGAAGAAGAATAGTCGTGCTCTTTTTGTTCTAGAAGTGTACTCTTAAGTGATTTACCTCAAGTTCAACAAACACTTCAGGAAGTGACCCAACCTCCCCAAGAACCTGTCCCACCAATCGGTCAGCACGAGTCAGTGTTGGATCCATAGTTGTTCCAACTCCAATGAGGCCTCCGGGGACAGCAAATTGTAGTTCATTTTGCTCAGCAAACAATGACACTATTCTTGAATATATTGGGGTACACTTAATGTTGCCACTCTCATCCTTGACAACAATACCAGGACGAACCTCAATGAGTTGATTTACCTTTAGGACACCCTGCAGAAAAAAGTTTACTTTCTCATTTGACAATCCATCTTCCAATCAGATTTTCATCTCTATATGAAGGTTAGCATAAGCATCGGGTAGAAACAAAAGAACGTCTATTGGGTTAGTAATTTGTGCCCTTGGTCAATTAACATGAACCGCGAAAGAAGAGAAGGTATGCCTGTAGCATTTGTTTGCATATGAAGGTTAGCATAAGCATCGGGTAGAAACAAAAGAACCTCTATTGGGTTAGTAATTTGTGCCCTTGGTCAATTAACATGAACCGCGAAAAAAGAGAAGGTATGCCTGTAGCATTTGTTTGCTTTATGGAATATAAGAACATACCTTCAGTATACTGCCACCAGCAACACCACCTCTGATATCATCAACTTCAAAACCAGGTTTGTTAACATCAAATGATCGGATGACTATCATATTTGGTGGCGAAATGAAATTCCTTTCAGGAATGGGAATTTTCTTCACAATATATTCAGCAACAACATCAATGTTGTACTTCAATTGTGCAGAGATTGGTACAACTGGGGCACCATCAGCAACAGTTCCCTGAACAAGGTTTGAAGTAAGGTCTAGTGAAACAGCCTTAAGATCAAGCACAGAAACAGTAAAGACGTAAACCAATTACACAAACCTGAATAAACTTCTGAATTGCCTCATGCTGATTAATGGCAACATTTTCCTGAACTAGATCAACCTTATTTTGGAGAATTATTATGTGCTGGAGGCGCATAATTTCAACAGCAGCTAAATGTTCAGAAGTCTGAGGTTGGGGACAGCTCTCATTAGCAGCAATTAGAAGTAAAGCTCCATCCATAATTGCAGCTCCATTAAGCATCGTAGCCATGAGAATATCATGACCCTGCAGAAAATTTCACAATACCAAAGCATTCTATATCAGGAGATTAAATGTCTTAATTTGACAGCCATAAATCAGAGTAGAACCTAGGTAATTGGCAGAAGACTAGATGTAGGGGAAGTGTTACAGATTATTTTTTTTGTTTGATAAGGTAAAGGTTAGGGGAAGTGTTACAGATTGACAGATTGCAAAAGGATAGTGCAGAGACTGGCAAAAGAACATAAGTGGAGAAATACTATCTTTTTAAGTTTTAACAAAGGTAAAGGCTTAAAGAGAATCCTACAGATCAGACAATAGACATGTCGGGTTTTGGAGTCTATTTTGTAAAATTGTAAAGGTTCCATATTTCCAAAGTGAGCTTCAATGCAGCCAATGGAAGTTACGAAGTAGTTTCACATAGTATTGAAAGTACCTACGAATACAATAACATGAAAGTGATCTGCCTAAGAAAGAAAAACTCCACATAAATGAATGAGGTAAAAAAATCTACTGCATGCTCACAGGCTTATCCATCCAAAAAACCTGAGATCATAAAAAAACATTTGCAGATTCTCAGGGAGGTAACAAATGCAGATATGAGATTCACCAACTATTCTTTAGATAAAGATCAACATAACTGAACCTGCTCATTCTTAGAAAAGGCATTCCAGTTCTGAAGACAAAGACTAAATAGGAGCCAGAAACATTCTCCTTCTTTATATGCAACCTTTTTTTAAATCTGAGAAGTCCTCAAGGACCAGTGGCGCACGGTTTGAAACTCGGTCGAGAATGGGCCAGCCCATCTACCCTTCTCCACTTAAATATCAGGCATTTGTCTGTGGCAGGGCTCGAACCCGTGATGTTCCCCTAACCCACACATCACGCGCTAAGCTCTTACCACTAGATTAAATCCCTGGAGGCAATTAAGAGCCAGAAACTAAGGGAAACAAAATTTCCTAGTCTTTCGTTAAATCCAAGACAAAGCTACTCGGAACCGCAAGTAGCATGAATGCTAAAGATGTGACAGAACATGGAGAACTTCAGAAATAAAACAGTAGTGGTCCATTTAAAGATATTTTGATACCTTCATTTTGGTGTATTACCTAAATTATGACAGCTTAAGATCTTCATTGGAATAATCATATCCGCATGAGATCAGAAACACAAAATTATCATCCTCTCTAGTGACCCAATACTCAAGTAAAAAATGGCAGTAATATATACCCTCAATGGAAGGTGAGAAACTTACTGGACAATCAACGAACGATACATGTCTCAGCAATTTCATCCTACAGTTCTCAAAACCAGGGACATCACACATTGGACTGTCTTCTTTTCCACTTCCATATGCCCTGAAAAAGGATAATGTTACAACACAAAAGCAACCAAATGAGCACAAGAATCAGTTCCATCTCTATTTCAAGTACTTACTTGTAGCACATGGGTCTAGGGCAGCGATCTTCTTCACATTTATATATCTTAGCATTAGCATATCCAAGCTTAATTGTGATGTTTCTTTCTAGCTCATTTTTAAAACGAACAGTCTGCATAAATATAGCAAGGCAGATGATTAGTTTCCTTCTAGAGGACAATAGGCTCTGACATTGCCCCAATTAGTTGTGCTTAGCTTTTAAAATTTCCATAGCATGAGTTCTTTATGACAATGCAGTAAGATCAAAATAGGTAGACATAATCAGATAAAACTGTCTTGATGGTCAACTTATCAAGGCAATCAATGAGAACGAGCCACAAACACATGCAAATCATCAATGATCTCAAAAGCTGATTAGTCCAGATAAATTTCCCATAATAATGAGGTTCCATCTCATGCCATAATAAAGGCTGCACAGAGTCTCTGGCACTAAACTACACAAATAGTAGTAAACTGGGCCTAGACATTTTAAACATGCTCAAAATGGTTTATCCATAATTCAGAAGTGATATAAGGACATGTAATTACAGCTACAATGATCAATGTATTAGTATTATTTTTTTATAAGAAAGGATCAATGTATTATTATTTCTTTTACAATTATAACTACAAAGAAACTGACAAAAAATAGAAGACATGCTTAAGTGAAGGTCCAGATTCCAAAACAAAGGCATACCTGCACGCCAGATATAGCTTTTACAACTGTTGACTTCCCATGAGCCACATGGCCAATGGTACCTG